CCAAAACCCAACTAGGATTGACAGCTTCTCTGAGGGTTGCAAGAGCAGCGTGTCGAAAAAAGCCACCGAAACGGCCGCTACACCCATTTCCCCGACTGACGGGCTTCGATATCGTGGCGTCTCAGACACGTAGACCAGATTTGGGAGGCAACCACGTTGCCTTTGGGGTTAGAGAGGTGTGGTGGATGGACAAGATCTCCATTGGACATAAAACCTTGGGTGCCGGTTCTCATTCGTCCGCCGCAGGGGCTAATGGTGTGAAGGCGACCTCACGCGTGGGATGTTGGAGGTGTCCTCTGAGTCTGAGGTTGCATCGCGGGCGGCGGCGATGGAGAAGGAAAAAAGCTGCCGTTTCGGGCGCCGTTTGCCTCGGCGCGTGGGACATGCGGCCTCGGCCATGGGGTGGGATGTCGGCACTTGCGCCATCCGAAAACTGCGAAGCTCGGATCGAGAGCAGCAAAAGCAATGTCATGGTGAAATGCCGTTTATTTTCCGCATTTTCCGGTATCATGTGAGATCACAGGCTAGATGAGGGTAAGCAATTTGTCAGTGCCGAGAGCGAGGCAACCGTCAAGGGCCGCGAGACATCCGGCTGCTGGGGTGCAGTTGCGCGATGGGATGAGATGAACATCTCAAGACAAGAGATGAGAACTGCAGGCAGCCTGAAGCTGCTTCTCGCCCGCAAGATCCTGCAGGCTAAATCGAATCTACGCCGCAGGAAAAAGACGCGCAGAAGAGGCGCGCCCGCGCGACCTCATGATTTGCCCTGCCTTTTCTGACGTGTTCTAGGCCGGGTTGTCCTCGGTGTGGCGCCCAGGAGTGACGGTTGCTGGCTTGCGCCGCGTGTGCGCGGGCGCCGACGAATGGCAGCGTGACAGCGACATTGTCAGTTTCGTCTAGCAAACGGACGGACGGGCGGTATGGGACGGCTCTTGTTGTCCCCTAAGCCTCCCCAAAGGGGTCCTTGGCAATCGTCTTGGTGTAGACATGTACACACTGGGTGGGCGGGGAGTGACTTGAGGTGTGTCTCGTGAGTGTGGCCGCGTTCTGTATCGCTGGTCTTGGAGCAGGTGGGCGGACGTGGCTGGTGGGATTCGCTTCACCGGTGAGGGGCCCTAGGGACGGGACGGGACCGGTGAAGGGAGGTGAGTGAGACTTGGTACGCGGTTGATTTTCGAGGTGGGATGTATGTGAGGCACAGCCATAGTGTGTGTGAGAAAAGTTGGAACCGAGGCAAGCCGCTAGGAGATGGAGGGTGGTTGTGGCAGGGGTTCTGGGGCGCGAGGAGAAAACTGTCACGCTGGGAATCGAATCCACATCGGAAAGTGCTCTTAGTAGCCCTTGATTAGCGAAAAGTGCGAAATGCGCATTCCGCATGCTGCAAGAAGCTCGAAAGAGACCTATTCGAAACGTTGAAGAAATGTGATGACGCCTGCATATGGAGATTGTCGATTTCCGTTGGCGATGGTGGTGTCGTTGGTGTGTGAGCAGGGAAAACGCGGAGGTGGCGGCGGTCTGGGCCTTCTGTTCTGCAGTGCACATCACCTCGACCAGGAAGGGGCGGGATCCGGCCCCGGGCCCGACGGGCGGGTCCGGTGGTGATTAATGTGGATCTGCTTCCACCGGTGGTCCGGGGCTGCGGTCGTGCGACCCCATCTCGTTCGAGGACGGTGCATCTCGTGCAACGGCGGTTGTAAGCGGACATGATTTTCGCCGCCGTGTAACCCGCCCGGTGTGAGCTGTCATTTGGAGGCGCTGGGAGGGGGAAACAAGGCAAGGTTCTGGCCACCGGCTGACCCTTGAGGCTGAACGTGGATGAGTTCGTCGAGAGATCATCTGCCAAGCGCGAGGGGTGAGACGATGTGAGCTGACTTGCATTTCCCGGTATACGGCGCTTGGGATAAGGAAACGAGGCACGGCAGGCGCTTGACTCGGGTGCGTGATACGGATACGAACGGCATGGTTGTCATGAGGGGAGGTATTATAGGCCTGCTCCGTCACAACAGGGTGTTGGGGCTCTATGTCCAATCAGTTCACTCTAGATTTTCGGTTTTCGTGAATGTTAGCGCCTCGAAAAGTAACATCAGGTCAGTCAAGTGGTTTCGAAGACGCAGGCGTGTTCTGACTTGCGAGCCTGATGACTCGGCAGCTTGGCGTCTAAGAGAGGAACCGCTGGTTTTATTTTCACGGAGATAACCTAAAAAATTGCTTATTGCAACGTCCTATCGAGAGACGAAGGACGATGGAGCTTGAAAGTTTTACCAGACTAGAATCCGGTGGATGACCGGCTCATGAATCTCATGCTATTACTTCAACGCGTGTGTTGATGAGCCCTGTCTGCAAATATGATCCGATTTTTGAGTTGTGCGAGAATTTTCAAGCCTCTTTGAATGTGTTCATGAATGACGTGATGTTTCTCACTTGCGTCCATACCAGAGGTAGCTTAGAATAAGTCACTCCGGTGACGAGATGAGACGTATGAAGTCTCCCTGAGAGTGAAGGATGATTTCCCCCCCTCATAATCTACGGTTTTCTGATGGTCACTGCAAGCAAGCCTTTAGGGAATTCCTTAATTTAACAGAAAATAAGATACAGATATATGAGAAGAGGGGGTGCGCAGGAAATGAGAAGTCCTCGTCAGAGAAGCAAGCTGGCATTCCAATCGACGGTTCTGTGAAGGTTCCATGCATTCTCAGTCATAAAATAGTCGTTTCTGAGGATTAAATGCAACTGTCTCTGGTGTCTGCTGATTTATGGTTATGTACAGGAGTTTTGCTGGTCGGGCAGTGCCCCCACACACCTAATCAATCCGTAGCCTATTTCTAAAGCGACTATACTTCCTATTCTCGCTTTCGTCGTCGTCTTCGTCGTCGTCTTCGTCGTCGTCGTTATCCTGATTACTACTTCTATCGTTCTCTCTATAATCACGAATCATAGGGGACACTTCCCGGATAGCTAACTAACACTGCCCGACTAGCAAAACCCATGTACAATGCTCCATGTCTTTGTTTAGAATGGATTTGATCCTTAGCACATATCAGAGCTTCAAGGCTGCCAGGGCAGCCCGGACCAGTGTGCCTAGCTGTTTTAATGTCCATTCAAGTGATTTTCAAAATAATCAAACTACTTGGTGATCTAAGTGACGGCGTGGACGCGGCTTCGGACTCGACTTGGCCTAGATCCCAACTAGCATACCAATTGCACTCCATCAGCCATCGGCGATAAGTTCTTTGGCAGAGAAGGAAGTCACCTATGCGTTCAATGTTCGCTACTTCTCTTTTCGCTCGAATTGTTCTTTTGAATCCATCATATGCGTCCAAGCCGGGCTGAGTTGTGCTTTAGCATCTGCAATGTTGTGAGTAGCGCCTTTCACCCGAGGCCTTTCCTGCCCCAAGCCAATATGGTTTCACTCTTTGACGACTGACCATTGATTCCCTGTCCAGATATCCACGTCTGAGATTCATAAACGAATAGAAAATCTGGTAGACATGGATAGACCCAAAACAAGTCCTTGGATACGGGTTCGGTTTAGGCGTTTGTGGCAAGAAACGGAGTCACGAAATCACGTAACGACTGCTCGAGGTAAGAGATGGGATCTATTGGCAACACGCCATCTGAGCAATGGAAGCTTCTTTGATCAGTCTCAATGGTGCTCAGTATTCTGGTGATCCTATCATGTTGTCACAGGCTTCACAACCTCGACCGCAGTTGGCCCCTGAATCCGATACCGATCCGAAGCGAGATCACAGCACACCGCCCAAAATTCCAGCTGAACGAGAACAAGAGTCCAAGTAAATCTTGATCCCCATGTCTCCAGCTCAGACCATTCTCTTGGCACCGTCGCCGTCCCCCTTCTCGTCTTAATCACATCTTCGGGATGTTCTTCTTGGGAGAGTAGACCCAGGGAACGACCACTAAACCCACAACGTCAGTTCCTTCATTCTCCCTGTGCCTGTTGCTCTCGATTCATGGCCTCTCATGGATGATCACGGAAAAAAAAGAAAATGACTTACTAGCGTAGACCTTGTCGTCGCGGTACAGCAGACGGATGCGGTTCGTGCCGTCGTCCTCGGCAACGATGATCTCGACGTCCTTGCCGTGCTTGGCTAGGATCTCCTGTACATCCTTCTGGATGACGGTGGCGCGGGTAAAGAGGTGCTTGAGCTCGTCGTCCATTTTTGCTTGTGTTATGGGGGGTTGTAATGGTGTGTGTTTGGGATTTGGTCTCGGTGATGTGAATATTTGCTGGTGGGTTGTTTGGCTTGGGAGTTGTTTGGTGGAAGGTTTGAAAACAGCCCCAGGTAAAGCAGTATTTGCAGAATTTGTTTTGGAAACAAAACACGGAAAGACAGGAAGGTGCTTGGTCTGGGTTGATGGCGGGCGCACTCGCCGAGAGGAGATGCACAAGGCGGCACCCGTCGAGGGATGGGCTTGAGGGGACGTGGGATGGGGTTGATACTCGAGCGGCTTCGGGGAAGATGACGGGCCACGGGAAGCAGTCAAGCTTGGCTGCGGGTCGAGAATATCAAGAATGCCACCGGTTTTTTCCAAGCCATTCAAGGCTTGTACTATTGCCCCCCCTTATAATTCATCTGTGATCTGATACCTGAATGTCATCAAGGCATGATATAATGTGAAGGAAGACTGAGCCCTTCACTCATGGAACAAGGGGGTTTGCAAAGACAAAGGGAAGCCCCATAACAAATTAGAGTCCTCAAATACAACCTCCAATGCTACTTATGCTTGAAACATATTGCCAAGAGCATGGTTTCTTATGTTCATCATCAAGAAGAGTGTCGGTATTGATTTTCTCCGATTTACGCTTCACTGTGCGCCTGCCTAGAGCCTTTCTCGAGTGTCTTGAGATGAAATCCAAAAAGATGATGATCCCGCCTCAAATATCCTTGCTGCAAAAATCTCCCTGCCCAAAGCCAAAGTATCCAAGCTCTTTACCAAATCCAAGGGTGAACTGCTCAGTGTCCCAGCGACACGAGCACCCGTCAACCACTCCCACTGGGCGAAGGGCCAAGATTCATAGTCGCCTGAAAAGACGGGTCCAGCTGCAGAGACGGATCTTGCCCTGAATCAAGATCGAACCCATCTTGCGCCTGGTTTGGGTCCCCGGCAGACCCATCCGGCCAGTTCATCGTCATCGTAGCCCAGAGGTCGTGATACACCGGCTGACCATTCACCATGGTGGAAGCTCCGTTCGGCATCTGCTGCGCCAAACCATGCGGACCATTCCGGTTGAAATCTTGATCCCAAATCGGGAAATACGGGTCCAAAGTCCCATCAAACATCGGACACCCTCGAATGGTCCTCGGTAGCTTGTTCACCGGCGTTTCGATGTTCGCCACGCGGGCCTCGTACTTGCGCTTGATCACCGAGAAGATGACTTTGCTTGCAGACAAGACATCCATTGTCTTCGTCGCAGGGGTGAGCTCCTCGTGATTTGCCGATAGCCTCGTCAGGTAGGAGTCGAACTGCAGCTGCTCGCGAGCGCGTGCATGGTCCCATTCCGGACATAGTGGCAGAGGAAAGGAGACGCGGATCGCGACGATGACACCTTGAATGAAGCGGCCCCAGTCTATTGAGGCGAAGTAAATGAAGTCCAATTTGTCCAGGGTCAGGATGTAGTCGAAGAAGCTGCGGAGCAGGGTGAGGATCTTTTGGAGGCGGCTGACGGGCATGGGAGGTCCGAGATCGCTATCGCCTATTTTTGATGTCGAACGGAGCTGGAAGATTGGGGCTGAGAGGAGATAGATCTCTGTGAAGAAATTTGCGATGGTCATTGAATCTTTTCGCGGTTAACACATGGATGTATCAAAGGGAGCAGGAAGCTTACGTTGATCGTTGAGACCACTGGGTATGTTGCCCTGCCACTCCCTAAACTGGCTTTCAAGACCCAAGTGCATAAAGTGGACTTGCTGCTTGACCTGCTCAGAGTTCGGCCTGACTTTTGCCAGCTCTGTCGCCTCCTCAACGATATGTTGCAGGCGAGCCAACCAAGCGAGCATATGATCGCCCTTGAGTGCGGAGGAGTGCTCGAGTATGTCACAGCATGTGCCGGTCCAGGAGGTGTACTGGAGCGCCGACGTGTTTGCCCAGCCGGTTGCAAACCTAGCATCGGTCAGAGAGGTTTTGCGGAAGTACTGTAAGAAAGGCAAGACGTGCGCTGAGATCAGGTAGAAGCAGGCGAGGTAAGCGCGGATGCCGTCGAGCCGATCTGGGGTGACGGGCGACGCGGCGGTGACGCCTGACGGCGGGTCGACGAGCTCGAGATCGTGCAGTATCTCGGCGGCCATGCGGACGTATTGAAATGCCTGCTTGCTCTTTGGGCGAAGATGAAAAGGGTACCTGGGTCTGTAAGTGTATATCCAAAGTCAGCCAGATGGAGGTGGCCTACCATGCTGTGTAGATGAGGAGGCCTTGAAGGAGCTCCAAGGTCCGCTCGCCGCCAGCAACAAACTTGAGGCCAAGAATCTTGCGGAACTCTTCATCGTAAAGCGTGTGCCCTTGTAATGCACTGGAACCTGATGCTGTCGCTAGGATGGCGAGAAGAAGGAACGGTTTCGTCTTTGATAGTGATGTGACGGTGGCATCGGGCGGTAGGGCGACACACGGAAAGTTCTTGAGCATGGTCCGGAAGGTCTGCAATAGTTTCTCGGCCGAGTCTAGGTTGAACTGAGGCTTCAAACCGAAGCTCGATACCGAGACGGAGGGTCCTGACGAGGGCGGTGAAGAAATAGTGGAATGCGAGCCGCTGCCAGAGCCGCTGAGGCCAAACATCATGTCAATCGAGTCCTGATCGGAGTTCAACGGCAAGAGTTCCTCCATATACCGCTCGTGACGCGCGGCAAGACCGTCAACATCATCAGGCTCTTCCAACTGGGGCATCTCAAAGTCGATGCTAAAAGTCTTGGAAGGGCCCGGCGGAGGAGGGGGCCGCGGAGCGTCCTGGTTCCTGTCAAAGAATGAGCATGGGGACAAAGGTTCCGATAGTGCCAAGATGACGGGATACGACCGCGATTGAAGGATTCGACAAGGGGAACGGGATACTCACAGTTTGGATTGACGTGGCCGGCGTGTCCTGGGGCCGGTACGAAAGACGCATTCTCGCTTGAATTCCAGACACCTAATTCGATCGGCCAACGGGTCAGTATGCACATGGACTTATACGCCGAAGCAGATCGGAAGATAGCATCTCGTCTAGCCAAGACGGAGTGGACACACACACCTTCGACATATTCCAGTCTGCACACTAGGCTGGCACTTCACCTTGGCTGCTCTACAGGCCTCGCAGGCGTTCGTGACCCTCTGTCGCGGGGGCGCATTGCTGCTGCCTGTGCCTTCAGGGTCGACATTGGATTCCATCGCGATGGATGAGGAATGAGGGAGGGTCCAGAAGGAACCGGCGGGGTGAATAGTGGACGAGCCGGATGACAGCGTGGGGAGCAGGACCGACAGCGGTTCTGGTACTTGGGGTCCAGCCAGCAGGACGGGAAGAAAGGACGAGGGACGATATCAATTGAGTCGCCGGGTCCGGACGAAGAGGGAGTTAAAGCCGTTGAACGCTTGGACAGCCGGGTCTGCCCCGATTGACGAGGCGATGGCACGAGTGGTTTTGAGGGTATTCCTTGTCGGCCGGGTTCTCGTCGACGCTGGTCAATGACCTGAGCGTCGCAGCGGCGAATGAACGATTGCTTTCAAAGCTCCACGCGTCTAGGGGTACGCAGCAGGCATCCGTCTAGTGAGACATCGCGGTGACGGGAGGTCAGCGAAGGACAATGGGATAAGAGCGACCAATGATGTTCCGGTGACCGTCGGATGTTGGCGATTGGCTGGCCGCAACAAACGTCCTCTGGGGAAGAGACGTACGTCGCGCTAATTCGACTCCGCTATTAGGGCGACGGCCAGGGGCCTCGACCGCTTGCAGGCCGACTCTGGACCCTGAGGTGGTGCACGCCGCGCGCCTTTCATCTGCAACGACGTCTGAGGATAAGTTCCGAACCACTTCGGAGTGTTGGGTCGCACAGGCACAGCAAAAGACAATCACATCCCCTGAAATACGACCCAGCTGACGGGTAAGCGGGAACACCGTTTGAGAGTTGAGTGAGAGCTTGACTTTGTCTCCTGGTTGTTTGAAGCCCGAGTCATTCACTTCAATAGTGGCAACAGCTGGAATCCACTATTTCTCATCTTGCATCCGAATAGCTTCATGTTTACTCTCAGTTCCACAAAGGATAAAATCTTTACAAAGGAACGGCAATTCAAAACCCACCGAAGGTGACAATAAAAACAAAGTCTTGTAATCGGGATCCTACATTATGGTATGCTATTCGACTTCAGCCGCTGACGTGACTGGGCTTAACGAAGGATGCATCATTACTACTACTGTATGTCCTTGATGTCAGGGTTGTTGCCCTTGAAGATGCGCTCGTACGCATCATCCAGTCCCCATACAAATTTGGAAATGTCGTTGACATGGTACTTGGTCTTCTCATCGTTGTCAAAAACCAAGTGCTCGCCCTGTGTATCGAGATCGATACCCAGGCCCTTCCAGTTGGGAATATGCACACCTTCACGATGCGCTTGGAAATCCGAGCTCGCGCATCGTGACGAGCAGTAAACTGTGCTTTGGCCTAGCTGCTCCGCGCACTCCTCGCAGATAACAGCTTCTTCTCCGCTGCCGCCCATCTCCTCATCCTCGTCCTTAAGTTGGATGCAGCCTTCGCCGGCAGCGCAGCTATGAGCGCTGTTGAGGTGCTCGTCCTTTCTGCCAGTCAGCTCCTTGTTCTTCTGCCTTGTAGGGAGCATAACTTACGTATCCCTCCTCGTAACACTTCTCCGAGTCAAAGACCGTCCTCTTAGTCAGGCTCAACTCGGCAAAGATGAGACACATCGGGCATGCCAAAACGTCCTCTGGAGGCACCTTGCCCGAGCACACATGGCATGGGGGAAGGTCATAGAGTTCTTTATTGACCTGCGGACCTTGAGGAAGAGGCTGCTGCCGCTTCTGAGCTTTTAAGATCTTATCCTGCTCATGTGCCGCCTGCGCCCTCTTGAGCTCGTTAAGTGTCCGTTTGTGTCTGTCCATGTTGCCGGACGCCTGTGACCTTGCTGGCCTGTCGCCCTCGATTTGCGCCATTACTTCTTCAATATCTGAACCAGATCGTAGCTTCTCCACATATTTCGTACAGGACGGCGGAACTTCGCCCGTCTTTGGATCGCGAAAGAAAACGTCGATGAGGACGTCGTTCTCCTTCTCCGAGGGAAGATTGTCGAACTTTGAAGCCAAATCCTCGAGTTTCGGCGCGTCGTCAACGCCCCTGTTGACAGCTCTACGGACGTCCTCGACAAGAGCAGCGGTTGGCTTCTCTTCGTCCTCCAATGCCGCCTGAAAGTTGGCCCTGCTCATCGCGCCCTCGGCGGTGCGGCCTGCTGCGGTTCTAGGCAGGGTCTCGCGGTACTGTTTTGCCTTCTCCTTGTCGATGCGCCCCTCAATCGCCTTGAGATCTGCTGTGAAGTCCTTCAGTTTGGCGAACAGATTGTCGAGGTCGTTCAAGAATGCGGCGTTGTTGGAGAACCACTCGTCCTGGGAGTCGAGGTACCTGCTTCTCATCGTCTGCACCACTTCCCCATAACAGTCTTTGCAGTGGGCAACGTGGGCCTTTCCATGCTGGTCGGCACATTTCGACTTGATGCTTTCGGCTGATTCGACCGCCTCCTTGTCTCTCCTCCGCTTGTCTTGCAACGCCTTGATCTTGCTCATAGCGACTGCCGTTGCTGGGGCGACAATGGCGATCTGAATTTGTTGATGCTGAGGTGTATGCCCTGACCGATTCTTGAACAAGTGTGGATTACGACCACCACAAGTTGATAAGAATGAGTGCGATGATATAAACGGGGGGAAGCTCGGGTTTATGGATGAAGTCTGTTTCTTTGAGAAGTTGAATGTGAAGTTGAGAGAACCAAGAGGTCCGTGGTCGAGGTGAAGTGGATCCTCAGAGCAACCAAGGTCTGGTGCACGGTGCTTCCCTGCCATTTCGGTGAATGTCAGCCGAGCTTCAGCCGGCGCATCCATTGCAGGCAAGGTCCGGTCCTTTCATCTGCCTCAATCTGAACTTTACAGAGTCAACACAAACACCACACTTATCAGCACAGGACAACATGGTTAGTTCATTTCTTCCCTGATATCGCAATGTTGCGCTAACGACGCGTTTGATAGGCCGACAAGCTCCGCAACCAGCAAGAACTCGAGCGCCTGCAAGCCAAGTATATTGGCACAGGACACCCCGACACGACGAGTTGGGAATGGAAGACCAACATCTACCGCGACACCTACTCCTCTATTGCTGGCCACCCACCCATGCTCTCCTACATGGCTTTGGCAGAGAACGAGCCCACGCAGCTCCTTAGAGCCAGACTGATTCGGGTGCGTTCACCTTCTCGGGATAGCTCGTCCGAAATACAAAGTACAGTCTTGCTAACGTGTTGCCAGAAAATGATGCAACCAGCTGGCCCGCCACCAGTACGCGAAGATTAACCATCCACCGTACCATCATGTCTGGGTTTTACAATTGGGAGACGACAGAACGGCGTTGGGGACATGCTCATTGGGATCATAAAGGAGGGCACAGATACCCTTGATTAATCATTGCGAACAAAGGCTATTCATAAACGCGTAAGCTTGGAATGCTGCGTTCCACTGGGTATTCTTTACAACCTCTTCGACAGACGTCGTTACACCACTCGTGCCCATGTCCATCATCGCGACGGCCCCGGCTCTGGAGCCTCCGACATGTCCACGTCACCCTCTCCATCCTCTCCTTGGATGCCCAAACTGGCGCCTATCTTTCTCTCAAGCGATTCGTCTGCCTGCTCCCCGTATACCGTACGCACCAAACCAGCGACGCCATCGATACCCATCTCCTCCTGTCCCCGCGGCCCGACGAGCCAGGTGATATCCTCGCTACCGTCGTTCGCCTGTGACGCCGGATTCTTCTGCACCTTGCGGACAACATAGCCCTGGGCCTGCATCCGCTTAAGAATATCCTCTGTCTTTTCCGCAGCGACGTTAGCTTCGGCGTTGACGCGGTTGAGGTAGCGCCGCAGCTTTTGGTCAGACAGCTCGCCGCTGGACAGCATGATTATGGATATGATGAGGGTGTAGAAGCCAATATACGAAGACTCGTTCTCGGCGCTGGGTGCCTTTGTAGGTGTGATAATCGTGGAGGTGCGGTATTTGGCAGGGAGTGTTGTGGAGAGGACGAAGACGCCGGAGCTGGTCTTGGCTTGGGAGCCGGACTTTAATGCTGCAGTTCTTTAGCGTTCGCCAGATCTAGAGATGATTGGAAAGCATTCTGTAGGCATACCCTGACGCTTCTCTGCCATCGTAAACTTTTCCTTAACCGCCAGCTCTCGTAGCTCCATACCCCAGACTGTGCGGAGCTGCGATTGCGCCAAGTCGAAGACTTTCCTGAATGATCTTCCCTGGTCTCCAAGAACTGGCAGAACTGTCAGTTGCCATCGATGCCGTGCCCAAACGATGGTCTTCTTTACCTCGCTCCTTGATGCCCTCACGGCGGATCGGAGTTCGTGAAAATTCGCACGCAAGCACATAGCGCACCAACTTCTTGGCAAGCTGATCCTCCGGGGTGGCGTCGGCCTCACCGTTCTCCTCGTCCCCATATTCTTCTGCATCTTCGGAATCGTCGTGCGCGCGGCATTGTCTACGTGCCGGGGCCTCTTCTTCAGACTCGTCTTCGACCTGCTGATTGTCAGCTTTGCCTTCTTTGGCCATCAGTGCATGCCGCGGGGCATACCTGTCTTCTGCGTCGTTGTGTAGGAGGCATCCTGTCTGCGTGAATAATGTAGCCGAATGAGATTAATGTATATCCGCACAAGCCCACCCAGGAGGTATATATCGTTTCAAGAATGCAATCGAAGAAGATCCGATTCGTTGCGCAAGGTTTAGCCACCAAATGATGATCTAGACGCGCTGGGACGCGATTTTGGCAGGCGCACTTTACTTCGCGACCCACTTATCTAATCTCTTATCTTATCAGGTGCCCGCTGCAGTCGCAAAATTTGGGAGCTTTGGCTCGTCACGTCCGAACAATCGTCAAAGGCTCGAATCACTTGTCCCTGACCTTCATTGGCGGGCGCCTTTCTTCCAAATGATTTCTCGAGCAGTTCTTGCTCGAAGTATATGCCTGCGATGCCAGTTGCGACTCCTCGACCGCCCCAGGGCTCTCAGTTCCCACCGAGTGACACCTTTACGATCCGAGTTCCTCCAGCGACGGCATTATAGTAGTCCCGATTCTGCATGGGATCGCCTCGAGGCGGACTCGCAAACACAGAAAGAAGAGAAGGATGGAGAGAAACCAGGAAGGAATCGAGAGCAATTCAAGGTCAAAAGTGGTCCCGACGAGCATATTGGACGACGTCAAGACCCCGCACCTGTAGAAGACAACATCGCATCGAGTAGCAAGGACGAGAACGAGCCTCCCGCGGCGAAACTAGACGGGCCGCTGTTATTCAAGAAAACATGGCAGGATAAAGGGGACATCAGAAGAATGAGCGGCCGCGTGGTGAAACTCAAGCATGCTGTGCTTCCTGGCAACGCGCTAGGCAAGGTTGCCAGAGCGGTCATCATGCGCGATTCGAATAGGGCCGTCCGCAAGCTGCCCGTCGAGCACATGGCCGCAGAGGAGCAAGTGAATCTTGCTGCAGACTTGGAGATACAGGCGCAAGAGCTTACAGAGGAGCAATCGCTGGCCAACATTGAGGAGCTGCGTCCCAGCGACCCCATCCTCTACAGGCACGAGTTTGATGAGCTGCTACAGAACCTGCTGAAGGGCTTCACAGTCTCTCAGCTGAAGGCTTATCTTCTGGTTGCGAGCAAGACTGCTCTGAAGAGCTCTGAACGCAAGGAACAGCCGATGTACAGCATTATAAGAGGCACCAAATGCGAGCCTTGGGCGCCGTTACGAAAGCTCAAGATTACTGGGTCGCCCAAGGAAAGAATAGGATTGACTCTGTTGACGGAGGCCTGGGGCCTCCAGATCAGAGAGTACGTCGATGGTAAAGGTGTATTCAGTCCCAGAATTGCCACGAGATTCCTGCGTATGCTTTCAAGTAAGTGACGGTTATCTGACACGTGCCTGGCAGATCATCGACTGACCCATCACAGGAGAAAAGAAGCGCCTCGACGCCATCAGAAAGACGTATCTCGATGCCGAAGAGAAGATTCTTATCGGGCAATCAAGCATCAAGGTCATCGCCACAAAGGCGAAGACAGACACCATCATGAAGGAATTAGAACAGGCGGCCAAGGATACGGTTGTTCAAACCATCGACGACGTCTTTTGGGTCCCCAATGATGACGAGACCGTCACGCTTTTGGAGCATCTAGGTCAGCTCACGAGCACCTTGATCACTCACAGGCCCCAAGAAAAGATTGTGGGTTATCATTGCCAACCGTAAAGGCGACTTTACTGACCAAAAGAATCAGATCGAAGTGGCATGGTTCCGCGACGGGCCCGAACAAAGAGGCCAAGAACGCCGTGCCGACGTCGTTCGACGTCTCCTGCTCACCGCGCTCTGGCCCAAAGAAGAAACTGTACACCTCAAGGGTCCGAAAGACACTGAATGCCGAACCATTCCCATGGTGATTGGGCGCGAGAGGCTTTCGTGGGTGGACAAGTTGACCCAGTGGTCTCGCTGGGCGAAACCCGTCGGCCGCAACTCCCGTCCCAAACCCCACATTTCAGTGAAACAGCGCGGCGTCCTAAGCAAGCCCATCGAGGCACCGCCGACGGAGTCGGAATTCCGCGAGAGGAGGAGCAAATCATACACCGCAACCACCGCCAGCTTCGGTCACATTCTGCACAAGAACGCCGACGCCGTGAACGTGGCCGCTGCCGCGGATCCCAGTCCACACATCTTCTCTCCCACCTCCCCTCCTCCCGCCAGCCTCGCTGCCCTGTCCGAAAGACTCGACTCGTCCAAACCCGTCACCACCTCACTCGTCCTCACCTTCCGTGCCCTCCCTTCAATCCATGAGTCAAAACCTGAATATTCCATAAAGACCCAATACTTCACCCGGGTCCAAAAGCTCGAAAAGCCCAGCGATGCCGTCAAACCTTCGTCCGGACCTGTTCGTCGTCCGGACCTGCTCGAGCTGCAACTCACGATACCCGACTACCTACCAGAAGGACCTCTCATGTGGGACTCATGCCCGAAGCGCCTCGTCGTGGTCGCGGATCAAACCCACACCGACGTCTCCATACCGGATCAGCCCGTCGATCTGCGCATCTCCCAGTCCGATCTGAGGGTCATGTCCGCCTCTGCTCTCGACGACTCCCCCTTCCGCGAGTACATCGACACCGCCGAACTCGACCTCCTCGCGGGACGGCTCGGCCCTCCCCCAATGATACGCATCGCGGACACGCCCTTCAATCCGCCAATCAAGAACCCCTCAGAACCGACGGACTACATGTTCACGGGTCTGGAGATGCGCCGCACGCTGGAGGCAGACTACCAGGGGCATAAGCTTCTGTACACGAGTGTCCAGGCCGGCCACCACGGCGGTCGGCGCGCAGAGATGGTTCTCGAGGCGCAGCCTGCTGATCCATCTCTGCCCCCAGAGGAGCAAGAGCTCCATGCTGCGAGCTTCCTGAGCCTGGCCAAGGACCTGGCTCAGGGCAAGGTGGTGAAGTGGGTGGGAGAGGTCGATGCTGAGGCGGAGAGCCAAAGGAGGTTAGCTGCCGCCAAGCCTGTGGCAGAGCCAGAGGTTTCGGACACCAGCATGTAAGATGAAGTGGATGGTAAAAGTCAAGCTGTAATATGTATTCTATGTACAACATACAAACAAGCCTTATAGAAAACAAAACAAGAGTTTATGGTTCCTCTTTCTCGCAACGATGTGTACCTGATCTTTCGAGGGATTGAGAGGAGACCCCAACCCAGAAAAAGCCTGCCTTGATCACTCATTCAGACAGCGCCAATCCCAGCTCAACTTACCAGCAGTGGGCCACACACAGCTTGAACAGGTGTCTCAACAAAGATTCCCCAAGGCGGGAATGAGTTAGGAGGCAAAAACGATCCGCACGTCAAGACTACAGTACCACGACCGGAGATTCACCGCATTGGAAATCGTCACAGTCAAACAACATCGACAGAAGCATCACGACATCAGGTCACAGGCGAGGGGGCACAGCAGTTTTAACTTGGGAATCACTTCTAGGACTCTATTTTTGTGCTAATTAAGCACGTATCATGAGAAGTTTTTTGACGTAATCATCCATCCTTCCTCCCGATATTCGTGCTCCGAGCCATATCATGTGTCCTCATGCCACGCAAAGGGAATTCGTAAAGCCGTAGAAGTGAGTGTCCATAGCTGGTGTGCCACGGAAGAACTCAGAACCCAACCCTGGTGAGTCAAGTAACTTATTTCTTGGCAGCCTTGGCAGCGGACTTGGTGACCTGTTGATGAGAGTGTTAGATGATGACATGCGGTGGAGAAGGATTAGGAGTTGAGAACATACCTTGCCGGAACCGCCAGCAGACTTGTCGACGGACTTGATGACACCGACAGCGACGGTCTGACGCATGTCACGGACGGCGAAACGGCCCAGAGGGGGGTAGTCGGTGAAGGGCTCGACGCACATGGGCTTGGAGGGAACCATCTTGACGATGGCGGCGTCACCGGACTTGATGAACTTGGGGTTGTTCTCAACGGACTTGCCGGTACGTCTGTCAATCTTCTCGAGGATCTCGGAGAACTTGCAGGCAATGTGGGCAGTGTGGCAGTCGAGGACGGGGGCGTAGCCAGCACCGACCTGACCGGGGTGGTTGAGGACGATAACCTGGGCGTTGAAGGAAGCAGCGCCGGCAGGGGGGTCGTTCTTGGAGTCACCGGCGACGTTGCCACGGCGAATGTCCTTGACGGAGACGTTCTTCACGTTGAAACCAACGTTGTCACCGGGGACACCCTCAGTAAGCTGCTCGTGGTGCATCTCGACGGACTTGACTTCAGTGGTGACGTTGGCAGGAGCGAAGGTGACGACCATGCCGGGCTTGAGGATACCGGTCTCGATACGGCCGACGGGCACAGTGCCGATACCACCGATCTTGTAGACATCCTGGAGGGGAAGACGGAGGGGCTTGTCGGTGGGACGCTTGGGGGGCTCGATAGAGTCAATGGCCTCGAGGAGGGTCTTGCCGGTGACCTTGCCACCCTTGCCCTCCTTCTCCCAGCCCTTGTACCAAGAAGCGTTGGTGGTGGGGGCAAGCATGTTGTCGCCGTGGAAGCCGGAGATGGGGACGAAGGCAACGGTCTTGGGGTTGTAGCCGACCTTCTTGATGAAGTTGGAGGTCTCCTTGATGATCTCCTGGTAACGGTCCTCAGACCACTTGGTGGTGTCCATCTTGTTGATGGCGACGATGAGCTGCTTGACACCCAGGGTGTAGGCGAGCAGAGCGTGCTCACGGGTCTGGCCATCCTTGGAGATACCAGCCTCGAACTCACCAGTACCGGCAGCGATAATGAGGATAGCGCAGTCAGCCTGGGAAGTACCAGTGATCATGTTCTTGATGAAGTCACGGTGACCGGGAGCGTCTGCATGACATGTCAGTGCGTGGTCCTTATGAGAGATTTCCACATTGCAAAATCGCGCCCATCCAAAAAGAAATTGTTTTTGGAGAGCCAATTTCCAGCGCAAAAGCCAGACTTACCAATGACGGTGACATAGTACTTGGGAGTCTCGAACTTCCAGAGGGCAATGTCGATGGTGATACCACGCTCACGCTCGGCCTTGAGCTTGTCAAGAACCCCTGGGACAAGTCAGTATTTTGACGGCATCACGGGGGAAAAAACGGGAAACCGCTAACATGCGTATTTGAAACTGCCCTTGCCACTATCTTTTTGTTAGTAAATGACGATGATGTGATGGGAGGGTGGTACTTGCAGCTCGGCAGCCTCCTTCTCGAACTTCTCGATGGTACGCTTGTCGATACCACCGCACTGGTAGATCAAGTGACCGGTGGTGGTCGACTTGCCAGAGTCGACGTGGCCGATGACGACGACGTTGATGTGAGTCTTGTCCTCCTTACCCATTTTGATGGTATTGGATCGAAGAAGTTATGTGTGGTATGTGAAAAAGCTGTTGAGAGAGAGGAAATGTCAGTAGCTGTTGACTCCGCGATGATGTCGCGAACTAAGATACTGTGGAGGGAAACTCACTTTGCAGGTACACTTTCCGTGTGGTATGCTAGACGAAGAGAGAAAGAAAGAAGACGATGAGAAGTTGTGAGGGGTGGAAGAGTTTTTAAAGGATGGGTGGGATGGAGATGGATGGTTGTGGTGGATAGAGGAGGGGAAAAGTTTGTGTCTGAGGTGGACGAGGGTGAGGTGGGCGCTCTAGGAGGGGTTGAAAAGTCTTGCGGCGGGGCAGAGTGGGTCCAGTACCGCTCGCAGATGAATGCCCTAGAATTGTACCACACGCCAGCGATTTTTTTTATTTATTTTCAGATGAAATTGCGAGTTCTGATTGGTTGTTTGCGTCCTTTTTGTGTGAGTTCTCGAAGAGGTACCTCTGAGGCGTAGCTGGGTTGTCCCTCTCACGTACCACCCCGCCACTCGACCGACCCCACCAAGGCAACCTCCTACAGGCTACGAATACCTTACCTCACCTTGAGAAGACCATCTACGAAAGAGCGGTATTGAAGCGCGCCTTCCCCTGGCAACTTGTGAATAGAGAATCTGGCAGGTCTTGTACTTCTCTTTCGCTTTCGATGTGTGTACGGCCGCTCCTGCCCGACCCTGATGTTTAGTGGTGAGTCGCGCGACAAGGACCTTCATAGCCCATGATATCACAGACGAGGGGCACTAGAAAAAAAAAGTTGGAGGGGCAATTTCTCGACCGCTGTTCGCGGGGCAACACCTTGCAAACGGGCAGCTACGGTAGCGTGCTGCCGCAGCTATTCAGTGGCCTCACCTTCCCTTCCCAGCCCCCACTCCAGGGAGCTCCAGACTTTCCGCCGCAAATCCAAGAGGTGATGTCAATTGACCGGCTCCTCTCTGGCCAAAAACAAATCCATCACGATGAATTTTCAGGTCGGGAGCTAGTTGCCCGTGTCGTCTTACGGGAAGGAGGGGCGACTAGGGTCGTCCTGCAGTTTGGCCACCTCACCTCACAGTCCTTCCGATCGACCTCGTCCACCCGTTTGTGGTCCTTGACCTTCTCCCTCCCCCCTTTGCCGTCTCAGACCGCGCGCGCTCCAGACACGCAGCACACACAATTTTTTTTTCCCTCTCGTGCTTTGTCCCATATGCCAGCTGCTACGTTTGAGAGACTTGGATGTACTTGTGCGGCGATAAGGCTCCCATGGCCGCCATTCTGCCCCTCCACCCCTCCTAATCCCTGTCAGTCAGCAAGGTTGCCGCGCAGCCCAACCTGGAACCCCCAGTTGGCAGTGCGTCCCAGGTCTGAGCCCAACTCTTCTTCGGCATGAGTCACGTAGGGATTTTGGCGCTGCTTTGGCACCTCTGGCACTGCTACGGCTGGCTCTCTGGCGCTGGCACCGCTGCGGTCTGCGGCAGAGTGCGACACACATCATGGTCCATCCTCCCAAAACTTCAAGGCTCCTCCGTGAGGCCTGTCCTTGCCTGGCGCCCCTGTGTTATCCTTCGGCCTAAATACCATGGAAAACTCGAGATCGTCTTCCTAGTGACAGACTGCACGGCCTCGAGATACGCAAATGCTTGTGACGACGTCCTGCGAGGGAACCAGACCCCCCAGCGCCTCGCCCCCTTATGACCGCACGCCGACCACACCCTGGCTCACACCGAAGACGCATAAGTCCGAAAATGTGGCTGATGGGCGCGGTCGGCGGTGGGTTTGGCGGGCAGCTGGCTATGCGGGGTTCCTCACAGAAGCGAAAGGGACAGCAAAAAAAAAAAATTCTGGTCGATGCTCTTTCACTCGCGAGGGCAGACCGGGGGGTGGCAAGAAGCAAGCAGAACAGAGATCCAGGCCAGGGTGACGTGCAGCACATTAAGCGCCTGCGCCGCCCGACCAGGGGACATGAATTTTTCCCTTTTAGAGGGGCAGTAGCATTGCATGATGCACGTTGCCATGGCGCCGGACCTCCAGGACTATTTCTTCTACTCTGTCCCAATCTCATGAAACCGAATAACAATTCGATAGGAGGCGAATTCCTGGTGCGGGTTGTGGGATCGCCCAGATTTGGCGTCTACTTGAAGCTGACCGCTTTCTTCGAGTCCAAGCCGTCCAGTGCCGTCGTGGGACAAAGCAACAAGTGAGGGGTAATCCCTTTCTAAGATAAGATAAGAATATGAGACATCTGCTGCAGCAACGTGATCTTGAATATCAAAGTTTGCGCAACTTCATTCTTCTGATTTCTTTTGAGCTGGCGTTCGAGACAGCATGGAATTTTGTTTACCAGTGTTTACATTGCCCAGATGGGAAGTCCGATGAGTGACGTCGAAGACGGCCCCACCCGGGACCGTCCCGATCGCACCACGTGATCTAGTCCAACCAAGACACGGCCCACTGGGCCGGCCAGGCCCGGAACTAACTCACGACAACCTCGTCCAAGCTTGGCTCCTGCTGTGACAGGCCATAGGGTGAGATTTTTTCCCCTCGTCGAACCTTTCCCCCTGGATAATGTAAGTTTCCTAGAGAGGTTGTTCACGACTTTGTTCAACCGGAAAGAAACCGCCCATTTTTCCTGTATACTTCTTGAATACTCAAATCACTAATAACGACGACGACGACAACGACGAAGACGAAGACAACAGTAATAACGACGGCAATAGTGACGACGATAGTAAAGCATAGATAGTAAGGCGTGTATCCATAGGAAAAGTACTTGCTCTGGCATAGGTAAAGTAGGCCGTCTCATTGAAAAACAAAAAACAAGCCAGCTTACCCTAACGAAATGAACCCCTGCAACGACCCAAGCCCGCTGAGGATAGAGCTCTTCAAGTTCTCAAGTGCCTTGGCTCCTTGCATCCTTCCATATACGATCCGCCCCCACCGTCTGTGCGTTTTGACGAACGCTACAGTGACATGCCCTCGTAGCACGATGTAGACAGTAGCGGCCCCTCCTCACTTCGACTCTTTAGGACCTTGCTCAGGGTATCTCCCTTCCACAAGCCGTTTGATGCGTTCCTCCATCCGGGCGTGAAGCTCCTACCTACAAGTTAGCTTTCTTTCTTGATGGACAGGTTCAGAGGTGACGGCAAGAGGTCCGTCCAACTTGACTTACAGTAAGTTTCTTGCTCTGCTCCTCAGCGGTAGGCTCAGGCGGCTTTGACTTTCTAATCAATGTTAAAATGGAGGATTCCACAGTTCTCCGAGCGTCACTTACGCCGCGGCCTCCTCCTTGACCTTCTCCTCAGCCTCCTGCTCCCTCCTCGCCTGGGGGTCTATCAAGGCCTGCTTCCACAAAACCTCTGCAACACTATTCGTCAGTCAACGTTCCAACAGCTAAGGCATAGCGCAACACGAACCCCACTCGGCCACTGCAGTATTGATTAGCAAATTGAACATCCAGTCTTCGAGTGAGGGATGTACTGACTCTTCTTTTCCTGCCATTCACGCGTCTGTTCGTTCCACGGTTCCTTTACCGTCAAGACTGCATTCCCGTCAGCAACTAATCTCATCCAGCTCAAACGACCAGAGATCTTTCATGCACATGACTTACCGGAATCCCAGTCGGCTTCTAAGCCAGTCCATTCTGGATTCTGGTTTTTCTTAGGGGCCATAATTATTGATGATGGTTCTGGAAGAAGGGAATCGAAGAGAAAATCCAGCTGCCGTATGTTTGGGATGAAGTGCTTGTTGGTGGTCTGCTTTTTGACTTGTTCCCTCCATGTCGGAACTCACCTAGAGCCTGCCTTTTATATCCTACGAAACCTTCGACGCCGACCGTCCCTCCTTGCTTTCATTCACTGTTTGCCTTCCGTCTCACATTCACCGCTTGGCCTCCTTGATTGTCCGCCCCGGCTTTCCTCCCTGCTTTCCTTCTTTGCTTTCCTTCCTGCTTCTACTCGCCTTTTCTCCCTAGGAAGCGCCCGCACCTCCTACCGAAGCCAAGGTATCTCACCATAATAGCCTCATGAGCTTGTAATTCAGTTAGCGAGCTCATCACGACTTCTTTATGTCGTTATGGCATCCAAGCGTCACTTCGACTCTTTGGAGCCTTGCTCGGGGTTTCTCTCCTTCACAAGCCGCTCGCAACGCTCATGCATCTCGATTTGAAGTTCCTTTCTCTCTACATTTGTTTGATGTCTGTGACAGCAAAATGGCGGAATAAAAACCTCATAGAGAATGATGGCTTGAGTTTAGGGGTGGTCGTGAGAGGCATACCGTGATGCTTACCACAAGTTTCTTGCTCTGCTCCTCGGCGGTAAGCCCAAGCCATGCCTTTCTACTCAGTGTCAATGAAGGCATTCAGAGTTCTTCAAGCGTTACTAACGCAGCAGCCTCTACTTAAGCACTCGAGCTTCGAGCAAGGGACAAACCGACTCTTTTTTTCCTGATACTCAGGCGTCTGATTTTCCCACTCTTTTCTCGCCTTGTCTACTGCTTTTCATTTAGTAACCAACTTCATCTAGGATTAACAGCATAAAGAGGTCTTACTGGCCTCAAAGCCGGCCAAGACTCCAACCCAGTCCCATTCTGGATTTTTATAGGCCTTGGTGGTGGGTGATGGGTTTATTGCGTTGATAGAAGGTAAGTTGAGAGAGCAAACACATAATTGCGATGGATTTGGGAGTAAATCCTAGCAGGGGGTCTGCCTTTTAATAGTCCCTTCAATCTAGATTTTCACCTAGAGCAGCTGCTTCCTTTCAATTCACCAGACCTTCGCCGCTGACCCTTCCCTCTCTGCCCATATCCACTATTCGCACTGCCTTTGTGCACTCTCGACCTGCATTAACTGTTTATTTACTTTGCTTGCTTGAATTCCTAATTTGCTTAGCTTCTTTGCTTCCTTGCCCTCCCTAATGACTCCGCATTAGCTCAGAATTTGTTCTTGTTCTGCCGTTGAATCTGCAGATTGCTTCGGTATCCGACCAGGTAGTACAAGATCACTGTACGTGACTCCTTGGCTTCGCTTCTCCCGCTCTAACGCTATGCTCTATGTAAGAATGCAGTCCAGCATGTCCAAAAAGATGGCGAATGGGTATCTTGCGCGACCCATATTGCTAGAGCCATTTCAGATCACTTCCCATTTCGTATATTAGGCTAGAGAACGATCAGGCGTTGGCGGCAGAATCACTTCCTGACTTCCCCCAGCACATTGAACAACACGCACGCCTTGGCTTTGTTTACTGTCATCAGCCTGCTCATCAGCCTGCTTTGACAGGTGCCGCTGCTACTGAGGCTGTTTTGCCCCGCGTTTTGTTCTTCGATAAGCACTGACAAGTCAGTTTCATCATCTATGGGAGCATATGGATTGCCGAATTATTATCATCCTTTATTCCTGATTGCTGTCTAAACGCCCAGTCTAGCACCATGCATAGTACTCATTATCCTCCCACACAGCCTCCCCTTCGCTCTTCCACCGCAAGCTGGGGATACTCCCGTCCAACCTCTCATCAAAAACAACCCTCACAGCGCCATCAGTACGATCACTCACCTTCTTCGCCGACGCCGCGACACCGTCGTCCGGGTTCCATACCAGCACCTTGGCCAGCCCCCAGTTCGAGGCTTCCAGCACCGCGGCATGCAGCAGCGCAGTCACATCGGCCTGAGGGTCTCCCGCAACGCGTAGCACCTTGAGCTTCTTCTCGCGGAAGTCGTAATCCCAGTAGACCCAGGCCTTGCCATCCGCCGTGACGGCCCCGCGGTTGGCCACTTCCCGCTTGGCGAGCTCCTTCGCCATGAAGCCGTCCCTGGTGAAGTGCCAGGTGATCTGCGCCGCCGACGGCGCAAACGCGATGTGAGGCTTGCCGTCCGCGGGCAGATTCTCAAACTTCTTCCTAAGCAGGGCGACGTCCTTGTCACAGAAGGCGGGGGCCTCGTCCGCGGTGAGATATCGCACGCCCTCCGGCGGCGTGGGCTGCAACGCCGACGCATCATCCGGGATCAACGACACCTGAAGCGAGGGATAAACCGTCCAGCCCAACTGCGCGTAGTACACCGTTCCGATGTCGCTGTAGAGCACACTTGCCTTGGAATCGGCGTCCATGGCTTCCTTGAGTTTGTTTAGGAGAAGTGTGGCCATGCCGTGGCCTCGGTGAGACGGGTTCGTGTACACGGAAGCGATAGCGTAGGCCTTCTCCTCGCGGAAGGCTCCGGAGGCGTCGCGGACGAAGAGAGTCTTGGCGGTTGCTTCGCAGGAGGAGATGATGTGCTGCGGGTCGGCGGGGTCGAAGAGGACATAGTAGGTGCAGTTTTCCGAGAGCTTCGTCTTGGAGAGCGCGGTCTCACGGGTGATGTACGCCTCGATGGACATAGGCGGGGCCCAAGAGACGCCGTTGAGGCGCCATGCGGCGTCGCGCTGCGCCGGGGTCGCGGGGCCGAACTGGACGTTCTTCTCGGAGCTGGCCTGGGTCGTGACGAGGTCAGCCATGTTGAGAATGCTTGAGGCTGCAGATGAGGGTCGGTTGTGAGACGGTTTGGTGAGAGGTTTATGGCCGTGGGGTATAGGTGAGGTTGCAGGTACGCTTCGGTGGCTGCGTTTCAGCTAGGACGACCGACTCTCAGACCTGATGAGAATTTCCTGAAGATGCGAACTCAGAGTCACAAAAACCAAACCGCTTTCAATATGTCTACAATGTGTATGTAGTAAAGCTGAGGTGAAGTCAACCTGGCAGCAGTTCCCAGGATGGCAGATCGCGGGCTCTCTAGCGGGCTTTGTAAGAGCCAGGGGACCTCCCACGGCGGGGTTAGGGGGCGTGTACCCCACTGTGGCAGCAGCTCGGGAGCTGGGGTATCCTAGAACCACACCCTGCAGTCGAGCTGCGATCCCACACTTCACCACCACCAATACGACTGCGCGAAATCGGGAGACCTGTCCCACGAGGTGCAGCAAACCAGAGGAGATGAGAAAAAAAAAAAACGGACATTCCCCCGTTGGTTGCATAGCTGTGGCTTGTTGCAGCATCATTTGGAGTGTGCTTTGCGCCATACAGAACTGAGAGTGTGGCCGGGGTGATGCTCAAAAGGGAGCCAGCTTCACGTTGGCCAAACTCATTGCTAGTCACACATAGCCGATTGCTTTCTAAGGGTTGTCCTCGACACTCTTGTCTCCAATATCTTCAGGTCATCAGGTGTTTCTTTCCTCCTGTGTCAAGTCTTACGAAGACCCTTCGAGAGACTTTCTTTGCAGCATGATTATAACCTCATTGCTTGATTACATCCGGTATTTCCCCTCATCTCAGAATCCTCCTGAAGCAAAAGCCTCGACTAGATGCTGAAACCCAATTTCGATCGCCTTCGTGATCCCGTCCGCTACTAGATCCTTATCCTCTGAGAAGGTGTCCTTCCACCGACCGCTCTTCGCAAAATACGTCTTGGCGAGATACACAAACAGAGTCTTGGCCTCACCCTCTCTCTCGGGACCCTCCATCCGATAATCCTCCAGGACTGCGGACAGTAATTCCTCGATCTGGCTGCAAAACATGACCTGGGTACCAGGCCTAATAGCATTTTGCAGTTCATCCCATATCGACATCCTTTGACTTTCTGTAAGCGGCCGCGGCTCAAGCTCCGTGTCATCATCGAACAGGAGCAAATTCAGCTTCTCCTTCAAGCCCGCCTTGATGTCTGCCGGCAGATGAATGTCGACAATGTCGATATGTCTTTGGATTTGCTCCCGCAGAGCGTCCATAGACCACTTGTTCCCCGTCCACACTGATACAGCAGCATTCCAGTGCTTTGCGTCAGTGTTAGTAAACAGTTTCTTCGCCCTCCTCTCCTGCCGTTCTTGAGAGTCATCTTGCTCGTTGCTCATGACGTCCTTTGCTCTCGCCGTGTCGGCAACTTTCTTGACCGCAATTTGGATGTGCTCCACCACCTGATTAAAGGCAATACCAATCACGGCATAGCGGACTTCTCTCCAGACAGTCTCCCAAAGCAGACTTTGGATGGTTTCAGACACCTTTTTGCCTTCGTTGAGCTCTAGGACTAGGACGTGATGCATGGCATCAGTCGTCGTAAGAGACGGATGTACATCGTACTTGTCGTCCAGATTGATGACATCCTCTGTCTTTGCAAATTCGTCGCTGAAAGGATGGATCAGCGTGACGTTGATGGCCGGCCCGTTCCAAGTCTTGGCCATCGCAACAAACTTCTTCACGATGGCAGCTTCGTGTTTGCCGACCGATCCAATGGTGATGTACACCATGCACCCACCGAGGGTTGACACTAAGTATGTGAAGAACTTCCAGAGGGCACGTGGAGAGTTGTTGGCTTCTTTAAACTGGTCCAGGTCCAGGCCCGCCTGGGCCATCACCTCCGTTTTCTGGAAGAGTATCTGGTGAACCAGGGAGGCTATAGCTGACTGCGCGGTCATGCCGCGGGTCCACATGAGATATGCGGAGGGGACATGTGAGGCGAACGTGCGCTGCTGCTTCTTCCAAATCAAGGCATGCTGGGGATCCGGGGCATCGCACTCGGCCTGGATGACCTTGGTCTCGTGGGAGTAGCCTGATGGAACATATTTCTGCTCCAACTTGAACCACTCTATCCACGCCTTTGAAGTTGTCGTCTTGTATGTGGACTCTAGCTCCTGGTGGTATCCGGCCTCTAGCTCGAATCCCCGGAAAAGGTTCTTCCTGATTGCTTCGAAAATCGCGGCGTTCGGGTCCTCGGCCATGGCTTCCTGTTATTAGCCTACGTCTTTGAACGAGTTGAGTAGCAAACCTTTAAAGCCCTGGTACATTTGATGTCTTTGCATCGGAAGATCCCTTCGGTAATGAGCCATCGAATGACTTGACCACACTTGCATGTGTCTAACGTGCATACAAAGATCCGCGTCGTCTTTGATCTCTTGCTGAACCTTTCTCATCTTCGTCAAAAGATCACCGTACCGTACTTCAAAAGGCTGCAGAAGGTCCACCACCGCTCTTCCTGCTTATGCGTAAGTCGTTGTCTCGAATTCATTGTCCATTCTGCTCACTGAAAGGGCTCTTCTTGAAATCAGTAATGACCTTCTCCAGAAACTCTGCGACAGCTTCGTAGAGCTCGACAGTAAACTCTGTTATCCGTGGGGTCGCGTAGAGCATCGCATACCCCCTGATCCGTTCTAAGCTTCGACCGATGTCGATAATGACCTCGAAAACCTTGGAAAGAGTGTCGGAACTGGTTTTGGACATCTGCGGCATGTTAGAAATTATCTCTGAATACATGATACGGCCCTCTCACAAGCAAGACGAGCTTTATGCCGCCCCATATCAAGGGCAAGCCCGAGAAGTCGGCTTGGGAGAGGATGTCAAAGACACCTTGGTAGTGATCCAACGATTTGACGAATCTGGACATTTTCTTCTTGTCCAGAGTACCCTCCTTTGCTTGTTGAAGCTGCTTGGCAACCATAGACAACTCCTGTTTCCCATCTTGGCCTGTGGCTGCGATACCGCCTTCGTCCTTGAGGAGCTTCTGGAGTGACAGGACAGCCGCCGTGTATGATGCTTCAGCCTTTCTATAACAATCATCAGTAGTCTGTTGTACGTGCTGAATTTGGCGCTTCGTCGACGGAGGCTGGTTTCCTGGCAAGAACTCTGGAAAAACCTGTTGCTGCCTCTGCAATATGTGTACCAACACATTTTGGAGCGTCTGTGTAAATAGAACTACGCTCAGGGTCACTCACTCGTACTTCGCCCCACTAGCTCGGACATCACCGTCCTTGGCTGGGTCGGAAAAGCGCCGAATCACTTCATCATGAGGATTCCAGATCGTACTTGGGCTGGAAACCGTCGTGGGGCTCCCATCGACGCGGTCCCAAGAAGGCGTACGAAACACGACAGCCGTGTTCAAAGAGGGCCTCTTGTGCATGGCGCCGCTGCATGCCGGCGAGGCTTGGCGCAAAAGCTTGGTGTTTCGGAAGCGGAAACTAAGAGAACAAGCAATCTTTGACGATGAGCGAAAGACTCTAAATCGTATCTTGATCAAGAAAATCGCATCTTGAAGGACTCCAAGCTACAGGTCTCCGAACAGGCTACGACGGGAAGTTCGGCGGTGATGGCACCTTGTTCATGAGCCTCGGGGGGCACTAGCTAAAGAAGCGCAATCCCAACGAGAGGGAGCGGCGCTCAAAGACCCTGACCAGGCCAGACTGCAGACCCGACCTTCCCATGATTCTTTCGCAGGGCAGGGGAACCGTAAGGAGGGGTGCGTGAAACAGGGGAGAAGGGTGAGTGTAGCGAATATTGCTTATTCTCCTCGAATCTACCAATCAGCGACACAGTTAGGTCCCGTGATACACATGAAAGCCTCAGCTCGTGGCACGAAAAGGAAACAAGCTCTTTCCTGCTTGGGGTTGATCCTGGTCGTCCTACGAATTTCGGCCACCAACTCGGCGGTCTAGATCTCGGGAGCAGAATGGTACAATGCCACTGGATAGGCGGCTGAATTTTGATAAAACAGGAGACAGGCACCCTCGACCCTGTATTCTCGACATCATCCAAACAGCCTACCATTATTGACTCCCATGATATTTTCGTGCTGTATCATTCTCAGACAGACAGTCCGATGGGTGGAATGCAATGCGGAACGCCACTATCACCATGGATGCCGTCGTTACCGAGCAGGGGTGCCTCAGCTCGCGGACAGATCACTTGCTTGTCATTGGAGGCTGCAAGGCATTTATTGATGCATGTGAGGTCTAGCGCCGTTCCTCTCTGCGGTGAGGATCGGGTCGAGTCCGTGATGCGGGAGCACAAGCGCTATTTACGGCTTCAACTAGCACACATCTCAATCTGAACGTCGCTTTGATAATGGCATTCCAACTTTCCGCCATCGGTGCCATGTTGTCGTCGCACTCGGGATGAACACACCAATGCCCGAGCTGCCGACAGGGAACGGGAGCTACGCGAATGACAGGACCGGAGACCGAGCGAACGTAACGGGGCCGATGTGGACCCCCCTTTAGCAACTTTCCCAAACAGGTCAGCCCGGAAAGCGGGGCAACTTTATTGGAACCAATGACACTCGAGGACCCTGCGCCAACGCGGCGGAATGGAGCATCCTAATCACCGCGAGCCATCCAGGTCCATTTACAGGGGCACCTTCTGTTGTAAGAGAAACACAATCCAACTCGAAAAAAAAGGTCTCCGGTTCTGCACACGTCTCATGACGGTCTCGTTCATGATCTAGGAAAGCCGAACGAAAGCCCCCTTTCCCAACCGGCATCCGCAGCCACCGCGACTGCGTCCCGCCACCCGACACCGATGCGAGGCCTCAACGCAAGGTCCCGCGGGGACCGCGACACAGCGAGCCTCCTCGCCCCTGGGAACTACGACGACGACGCCTCATCCCTGCACAGCAACCGGAGCGATCAGGAGAGCGACAGCGACGATGACCAGCTGCAGCAGCGCGCCCGCAACAGCCGCGAGCTGCGCGCCGCCGACAGCATCGTGTTCATGGAGGAGGACGAGGTCGACAAGCTCGTCACCGATACGCGCAAGAAGAAGCAAGACCTGCATCGCCGAGGGTCGGGGCTCGCGGTTCCGAACCCGTTGAGGATGTTCGGACGTGCCGACGCCGATGGCGCGCGGCCGGGGTCCAGCAACGGGTCCTCGGAGGACTTGTTGAGCGAGAAGGACAAGAGGCAGCAGAGGCGGACGAGGCGGGAGCAGAAGAAGCAGAGGTTGCTGGAAAAGGCATCGTACGGCGAGGACGGCGAGCTGATGTACGAGATGGAAGAGGGGGCTATGAAGGAAGGGAGCTCTACCGGCGAGAGTAGTGAACGAGACGACAGCGATGAGATCGACCGGCAACGATTGAAGATGAACGAGAAGACAAAGACCGAGAAGAGGAGGAGCTGGCGCAGGTCGCTGTTCATCTACGGCATGATCTCGGTCGGCTTCGCGATACTGGTGCTGGTGGCGTGGAAGCTGTCGATGAACAGGAAATCAGCGCGAAAAGCCGAGTTCGTCACCAACGGGACCGCGCTCTTTGCGCCGACGACGATTATCATCAGTCTGGACGGCTTCCGCGCCGACTTCCTGCAGCGCGGGCTCACTCCGAGGTTGAACGCCTTCGTCAAGGAGGGTGTCTCGCCAAAGTACATGAACCCGTCATTCCCCTCCGTCACATTCCCGAACCACTACACCCTTGCGACCGGCCTCTACCCCGAAAGCCACGGAGTTGTCGGCAATACCTTCTGGGATCCCGAAATGCTCGCCGAGTTCTACTATACCGATCCGGCGCGCAGCCTCGATGCCAAGTGGTGGGATGGCGAACCGTTCTGGGTCACTGCCGAGAACCAGGGTATCCGCTCTGCAGTTCACATGTGGCCTGGCAGTGAGGCGCACATCCTGGGCGTTGAGCCTACTTTCATGGACAAGTTCAACGGCAACGAGCCCCTCGAGAACAAGGTCAGTAGGATCCTGGAGTTCCTCGACAAGCCCGGTATGGAGGATGAGACGGCCAAGGTGGAGGACATGCGACCGCAGCTCATTGCGGCCTACGTTCCCAATGTCGATGCGGATGGCCATAGATACGGCCCCAATAGCACGGAGATCCGCTCCACCATCCAGGATGCCGATACCATGATGGACCAGCTATTCCAAGGGCTTGAGCAGCGCAACCTCACCGGCATCGTCAACGTCATTGTCGTTTCCGATCATGGCATGGCCACCACCGACACCACCCGCCTTATGCAGCTGGAGGACCTCGTCGATACCTCCAAGATCGCGCACACCGATGGCTGGCCTCTGTATGGTCTCAGGCCGAAGAACCCCGACGACCTCCAGGGACTGTACGATGGCCTGGCTGAGAAAGCCAAGACCAATCCCAACTTTGACGTCTACCTCCGCGACGTCAACATGCCCGAGCGCTATCACTTCTCCAACAACAAGCGCATCGCGCCGCTGTGGATCGTCCCCAAGACCGGCTGGGCAATCGTGACCAAGGAGGAGATGGACGTCGCCAAGGCTTTGAAGGACGGCTCGGTCTACAACCCTCGCGGATTGCACGGATACGACCACGAACACCCGCTGATGCGCGCCATCTTCATCGCTCGCGGCCCTGCATTCCCTCATCCGCCCAACAGCCAGATCGACAACTTCCGTAAGCTAACCTCTTATCCAGTCTTTAGAACGTGAACTGACAGAGACAGAAAACATCAATGTCTACAACATTCTTTGCGACTCCGTTGGTCTTGTCCCGAAGCCCAACAATGGAACCTTGCGCCTCCCGCTGTCACCGTTGGGCACCCACAAGTCCGAGGACACTCCTGCGGAGCCACAAGACCCCGTCCCCGCATACACCACCTCGCAGGCGCCCGCCTCTGTTGCCACACCGATGAGCGTATCACAGGCGGCTCAGTCATCCACGCCAGCAGTCGAGTCGGTCAAGACCATCCAGATTGACCCTCCTCAGCCGTCACCGACGGACGCCGCGGAGGAGAGCAACGGCGCAGACGAGGACGCCATCGAAAAGGGTAAAGAAGCCATGAAGGGATTCTGGGACTGGCTCACAGACAAGTTTGATAAAGTCTGGGATAAGATTACAGGAAACAAGGATGATGAGGGTTCGGAGAACTCAGAATGATGTGCTGCTTGTAATATTATAGACGGTTGAGACTCATGATATGGCGTTGGTGGACTGGGCGGCTCCTTTGTTTATACTGGCTGATACTCCAATTGCATTTTTTATCTCGCTGGCCATCATTCTATACCATTATAGTCTGTCTCCTTTGGAAATCGGCCCCCGCTTGTCTATACACCCTCGCTGGCCTGACTCGGATCGTATGGTGTTGTCTACATGCCAATGGCAGTATGCTCGTGATATTGCCCCCTCTGTTCACAGTCAGGTCAGGTTTTGCCAAATGACAGTTGATCTTGATCCCCGAACCTGTCATGCGTTATTCAACGAAGCGTCGGCCTCCGCAAATCAAAAGCTACCACCACCACACATTCTGGACCCTGACGCCGTAGTCGACATAATCGGAATGACACTAAAACCCCGGCAGCATGTATGTGCCAGCGTCCTTCCGAACGAAAAATGTTACAGGAGGCCCGTCAGGATAAAAGTCTGCAAAAACCTCTGCCGGTCCATATTGAGTATCTGCACTATGGTTCAACTTGAACATGTAGAGTCTGAGACCATTGTCCTTGGCACGCATTCGACTATAATCCCTTATGCCGGGGTGGAAGCTGCGTCGGAAGCGGACACCGATCTCGAGAGCATCAGCCGGGACATGGACCACGGGCTGCGCAATGACGTCGTTTAGATCGATGCTGAACCGGCGCTGGATGACTGGGTGGATGGGTATCAGGTCGTTGGGGTTGCGGCCCGCCAACCGGCTGAAATAGACACAAGCTCTTGTGAACTTGGGAAGGGAGAAGCCGTTTGGGAAATCGACTTGACGCTTGAGGCTGACAGCAAAGGGCTGTTCGATTCGAGGATCCTGGACAATACGGTGGTCCATTTTTGTCAAACTGAGGATGGTACTAATTGGTTATGATTCAAGCGAATGTTGGATGTCGTATTTCTTGTTGATGTGACAGGCAAGTTCTTGGACGAGGTCTTCAGAGACGCGAATGCAGGCCAGACTTCCTTTCTAAATATTCACAACACAGGGAAGGTAGCCTACCAAAGGTGTTACCACTATATCCGTCTGCTCCGCGTGGCGCCTGACCTACTTATCTAAACGTAAAATGGAAGGCGTGGACAGGCGGAAAGTGCCTCTGGAGCACATCGACATCAAGTAAGGGGGTTTCAGTGATCTTTCTGATATCTATCCCAGCAATTGAACCAGAATCCGACAAAGACCACGCTTTTTACCAAACCTCCACGAGTCTATACACACGATCATGGCCTTTTTGACATGGTTTTCTCATCTCCATCCGCGGTACATCCCATCTTCTTCCGTATCGCCATCGTAATCAATGTCCTCCTTGTCGTACACATGTCCTGGAGTCACAGGGTTGACTTCCTTTCGATACTCTGGTATGCAAGCTCCGTTGAGCAGTAGTCTAGCAGTTCGCTTCTCGCTGTCGGACAACTGTCGATGTCCTCCAAGCACTCTGGCATATCCGAGGGATTTGAAGTCATCGAAATGCTGGTCGAGGTGCCGTTCTGGGGTGAAGGTGCACACGCGTCCGACAGACACGCAGAAGTCGCAAGCCCATACTGTCTTGCGGCTGTTGGGAAGATTGACCTGCTGCGGAGAGCAATCCAAGCAGGTGGGTGGGCAGTGCATAGCGGCGGGGTTCGACATGGCCTGGGCATATTAGTCAAGTTGGTCTTGGAGGGCATGTCTGATTCATTTACCATGTGGCAGGCATCGCATGTCTCCCTACCGCTGGGTAGCAGTTTCCGAGACCAAGCGCCGATTGACATCTCCGGATGTTCTCTTGCGTACAGCTCGTCCATCATTCTCATGTTGTTCTCCACATGGATACGCTTGGGCGGCTCTTGGATCTCTCTGGGACCGGACTGGGAGATGACCATCTGCTGGGACGCGAAGCATGGCGTGATTTCTTCGACGATAACGTCGTAGGGTTGAATGGCCCAGTGCCGGAACCAACTTCTATTGGCCCACTTAACGTTCGTCAAGGCCGCGATCCAAGCCATTACGCGAGACCACGCTCCAGCGAGGAAGTTGGTATGCTCGGAACCCAGACCGTACTTCGTGTACGGGAAGGTGTGGTCGTGAGAGTGTTGGTATTGTCCGATAACTTTGCCATCCTTGATGTGATCGATCCTGAGCGCCAGGCGACGGGCTTGCTTCCAGTTGTCCCAGGGTCCGATCTCAGGGACGTTTGCATACGGTGTCGGATGCGAGTCGCTAGGGTTCCGGGTTATCTCAAAGGTCGGGATAACGTAATCGACATCGTAAAAGTCGCCGAGGGGAAGGATGCACCGAAACTCGTCTTGCCAACCAGAAGGAAACATACGTGCTCCGAGGAAGCAGTACTTGAATCCGCGCTCAAGGTTTCGGTAGACCTTCCGCGGTTGTCCAGTGAAGGTAAACATGTCGACCGTTCCTGTTTGGCTACTTGAAGTCGCAGTTTTGACCCAGAGATTGGACTGACCGAAATTGTATTTGATGAGAATATCGTACATGAGGGTGCCCATGTTGTCGTCCCACTCGACGGGGATGTCGGGATGCATTTTGTCGAAGTGGTTGTGAGAGGTTATGGGCCGTAGGAAGAGCTCTCCCAAGATGAGAGGAGTCTGGTGGTGGTAGTAGGACCTCGTGACGGTAGGAGTCTCGCTAAATGGTGCTGGGATATTGCGGGAGACGAAGGACGAATAAAAATCATATGAGGGGAAAACCGATGGTGGTCTTCTCTTGGGATGAAGAGGAGAGGAGGGCAGTTTTTCCCGTTTTCATTCTCGATGATGGGTGAAGGTAGACCTGCTGAAGGCAGCAACGGGGAAGTAGAACGCAATGTTTTCTGGTCGACTTTTTACTCGCGAAGATATGGTGTAATCGGGAGAATAAGAATCACCTGTCAAATGCTTTGGGGTCGTCTCACCTTGCAAAGCATCGCTTCGATGGACACGAAAGAGGGATGTGAAATTCTATGCGTCCACAACAAGAGCCATGACCAAGACATGAGATTGATCGGTAAATAATGAAAGAGCTATCTTTCAAGTTATGAGGCGCTGTTTCAGCAGCCTAAATATCAAAGCAAATTAGCAACTGCAGTCTTATGCAGGATCAGTATTTCACTCTTGGAGGCTAAGGATTACAAGAGAAAGCAATGGCAGCGCCTACCATGACATCGACACACGTTACTGCCTTCCCTTCGCATGGCCAGATTGTGCAGCGTTTGAGACCTCAAGTGGTGTCTCTGAACAATGCGGCCAGAGTTCAGCCTCTGAGTAGGACATTACGAAAGCCAGAAAAGTACAGGATTGGGGCCCAAAGCAGCACTTATTCAAGTCACTTGAAGAATCAATAGGAAGCCTAGTTTGTTCAAACAATGACACTAAACCATATGTTGCTATTTTGAAAAGCAGAGCCTCCATAAAACAGCGTATTTGGTCGATCTGACACCACCGCAACATCAGAGTCAGATTCTTCACTTGCTTGCGGAGTTCATATCATTTCACAACATGAGTACAGGGCTTCAGAACCTTGTAAAGATGAGGTTGAGAGCGTATATCCAGGCCTCTGAAGGCAGTTAAAATACCAGACGTTAATTCTGACTTGACGACTTTGCCAGGACACAAGGGCGGTTTAGCCAATGCTTCGGGCTTTACCTTTTGACTCTACAGGAAGACCGGCCGTATTACATCTTTTCGTGATGACATCCCTGTAGACCGTCGGTTCGAGTACCCATTACCACGGGTGACATCACTGTCAAAAGATACGGACGACGTTCAGTTACAGTAGTTTGCTGCTGTCTCCAAGGGGTATCACTTTTCGGGGAACCTGTATCATAGTAATGCAAAAATCTGAAGCGGAAGAAGTCTTGCAATTTATAGGGTATCTGCGCTGCTAAACTGGTGATTTCAAGCCTGTATGCGCAAGAAAGGATGAATTCTTGCCGGAGAGTCTCCCTCACCTACTGGTAACCTCCTACTTCGCCTATCCTTGCTTGGGTGCCCTTGAACCCACTTGAGACCCTTTAGAAGCACTTTGGCGAGTACCGTGGCCGGATATAAGAATGACGTGGGTAGGCCGAACAAATCCGGGGTGAGAATAAATGTCTCGATGCGCGACACGTTCTGGCATGCTGCCTTGTGCAGGGTCTGCTCGTCCAAGAAGTCTGAGCACATGGTGCCTTCGTGATGCAACTCATCTCCCATAAACGTAGAACCATGCGGAGTTTTCCTGACCGCCGTGAGACCCGAGGCAGTATGTATTGGAAGGGGTACTGTTGATCCTTTTACTGAGTGGGCTATAAACTTCCTCGGCATACATCGTATGGAGAAAAGGCCGGGTGAACGGGGAAGCGGCCGAATTTGCTGTTGGCATTGCCGGATCAATCACTTCCCTCTTGGCGTTTGATATGTCAGTCGCCCTCTTCAGGCATCATCGTCGTCGACCTCCTCCATCATGACCTTCCTGGGTCCAGACGGCTCGGTCTCCTCTGTAGCGGTAGTCGTTTTCAAGTAGCCCTCTCGCTCCAGTCTGTCTGCCTCCTCGGGCTCCATCAAGCCACCTTGTCCCTTGCCCTTGTCCAGTTTCATCCGAACAGCAGTTGGTACAAATGCAGCCACTGCCTCCTTTTGCAAGTTGCGCACCATAGGTTTGGCCTCGTACACGGTCTTGGCTTCCGGTGCTGGGGTTGGCGTCTTCTTTTCCTTCTCGTCTGATTTTTCGTTCTCGTTTCTCTCAGCCTGCTCGGCTTGCCTGCGAGCGCGTCTCTTCGCGTACCACTTGTCCAGCACTTCCTTCGGTATCGGCGGTGGCGTGTCGCGAGGCATCGGGATGCGCTTCACTTCATCGGGTACGTCCTCATCGCTCGTCAACTCATCGTCATTTCGTCTGCGCTTTCCTAGCACGCCTGCTGAGGAATCGCCATCGCGGTGGTAGCCTCGACCGAATGACGGAGCCTTGTCGCCGAGTGCCTCACGCGCCTTCTTTACGGCGCGTAGCTCCTTCTCGAGTCCATCCAAAACCTGCTCTTCATGTCGTGAAAGTTTGCCGCCTCCTGTTGTAATTGCTTTCAAGTCATCAATCTGCTTTTGGATTCGTTCGGGATTGCGGCGCGCAAGCTTTTCGTTTCGTTGTGATTGTATTGAAGCCTTTCCTGGATGCAAAAGTCAGTGACCGTCTGGATATAACTGTATGCGCGCGAAATTGGTCCCCACGTACCCTTCTTGATCGCCTTGGCCTTGTCAGCTTTGCGCTGGGCTTGCACCGGGTTGTAGTTGCGTTCCTTGGGCATGGTTGTGGTTCTGTCGTGTGAAACAAGGTTGATGATGTGCAGTAGACGGGTTGGCGTTGACGTCGAAAGCTTCCGTCGTCGCCAAGACCGATAAGGAGCTACGGAACCTTATCGTCTATCTTATCGCGCCTGATGAGGCGTCCAATCAACAGGGGCCCGATAGTTGCCCCTGCAACATTGTTGACTTAGGACCCCGCAACGCCCAATAACACTACTGCTTTGTTCCCGCTGCCCCCCTAAAACATTCTGGTGTCCACCCAGCGATCGACTGTGCAGTGGTCACTCTCTCTTGGGCAGATCTTGGGCCGACTCCATCCATCACCCTGGACTCCGACCCAACATCAACCCCACGGCGGAGAAGATAACAACACACTCCTCGCTTGCCAGCATCCTCTATCGCGAGTCGGAGTCCTGAACTTTATCTGTACCTTGCAGCGGTATCGACCATCCCTCCCATCTTCTCTTAACCGACCCCTCCTTACGGGTTGATCACTCTTATTTACTCCCTTTAACCGCCCTCCCCCAATCGCATTTACGAGCATCGTCAACGCCGCCACAATGTCGGGCTTCATGTCCAATTTCCTCCCTGGAGGAACAAAGGATGCTTCTGCCAGGCCCGAGACGCCCACCAGAAACAGCTTCATCAACCCCGCCAGCACGCCTCAAGGGAGCCCAAGCAAACGGACTGTCCCTCCTGGCGCCAACGAGCTTCCCGATGCATTCGACAGCGCACTCAAGTTGAACACCCCCGTCCTCGAAAGACCCAGGCTTGAGCGCCCGCTGAGCGTCATCAATACCCCGCAGTCACCAGGAAAGGGCAACTTGAGTGAGGCGAGCCCCAATGTCGAAGATAGCGTGCTGCACAAGGGCGTCGCATCCACGGGCAGCCCTTTGAAGAAGTCAAATGGCCAGGAGAACACTCCTCCGATCACGCGCCTGGGAGGCACCGATTCACCGTACCAGCAAAGTCACGCTGCCATCTCTCGGCACGAGCTATACCAAACCAAGGAGAAGCCATTGACGCCCAGAAACAAGTTCAACACCCAAAAACCGCTTACTCCTGAGGAGCTCGAGATCCTGCAACGCCCAAACGTCCGCAGATTGGTCAATGTCACCCAGCTCTGTATGTCCTCTCCCACAGGTTCTACTGATGCTTGCTAACCTACGATAGATTTCCTCGACTACTACTTCGACCTGTTGACCTACGTTGGCTCCAGACAGAACCGATTGGTGGCATTCAACTCCGAGATTCCTCCCCCACCCGAAACCGATGAGGCAGCATACAAGCAAATGTGGTCCAAGTACGCGGGCCGAGAGCGCGCCAATCTGCGAAAGAGGCGTGTCAGGCTTCGCCAGGGTGATTTCCAGATCCTTACCCAGGTTGGCCAGGGAGGCTACGGCCAGGTGTTCTTGGCTCAGAAGAAGGATACTCGTGAAGTGTGCGCTTTGAAAGTGATGAGCAAGAAGTTGCTGTTCAAGTTGGATGAGGTTCGTCATGTCTTGACGGAGCGTGACATTCTCACCACCGCCAAGAGTGAATGGCTTGTTCGACTGCTTTACTCTTTCCAAGATGACAGGAGCATTTATCTTGCCATGGAGTACGTGCCTGGTGGCGATTTCCGCACTCTGCTCAACAACACTGGAGTCTTGAGCAATCGCCATGCTCGCTTCTACATCGCAGAGATGTTCTGCTCTGTTGATGCCCTCCATCAGCTCGGCTACATCCACAGAGATCTGAAGCCTGAGAACTTCCTCGTCGACTCCACAGGTCACGTCAAGCTCACCGACTTCGGCCTGGCTGCCGGCTTCCTTGCTCCTGCGAAGATCGAGTCCATGCGAATCCGCCTTGAGAAGGCTTCCGAGACCTCAGTGCCATTTGGCAAGCCAATGGATCAACGAAGTGTCGCCGAGCGACGAGAGGGATACCAAACGATGCGCGCAAAGGACACCAACTACGCCAAGTCCATTGTGGGCTCGCCTGACTACATGGCGCCTGAAGTGCTCCGAGGTGACGAGTACGATTACACGGTGGACTACTGGAGTTTGGGATGCATGCTTTTCGAGGCTTTGACCGGTTTCCCACCCTTCGCCGGATCTACTCCTGATGAGACTTGGAGAAACCTGAAGCATTGGAGGGAGGTGCTCAAGCGACCTGTTTGGGAGGATCCCAATTATTTCCTCAGCAACCGCACATGGAACTTTATCACGACGTAAGTGACCCACAACGCCACTGTTTCTAAAGGTTTCTAACCCCAGGTTAGTTGCATC